CGCGGGGCCGCGCAGCGCCCGAGGGAAGCCCTGAGTGCCGCCGGCGGCTCCGGCACAACCCGGGTTAAGGCTTGCTCTGTTTCCCACAGTGAGGCAAGGGCGGCTCCCGGCGCGCCGCCCACAGCCGCTGCGCTCCCTGCGGAGCCCCGGCCGGCAGCGGCCCCAGCCGCAGCCCTGGGCGCCGGGAGCTGGCGCTGCCCCGCGCTAGGGGCACCCACGCCAGGGACAGCGAGCCTGTGCCATGGCGGCAGCAGCCCCCGCTAGCAGCGCTGCTGCTGCTGCCCCTCCTCGCAGAGCAGCTCGGCCGCGGCCTCCCCGCTGAGGCCGCCCGCTCCGGCCTCCGGGCAGCCGGTGCCTCTGTGGGCGCCGGGAGCTCGGGGGAGGCCGGGCGCCCAGGCCCGCTCCTCCTGCGCGGCCTCCTGCGCCGGGCCCGGCGCCTCGCACTCGATCTCAACGTCCTCCGCGTCCTTGGCGCCGCAGAGCGGCACGGCCTCCATGTCGAGGCCGCTCTCCGGGGCCCTGCGCCTGGCGCGCTGCTGGTACCATCTGCAGGCGGCGGCGCCGTGGCAGGGCAGGTCGAGCGCCACGGTGCTGCGYGCCAGGCACACCTCGAGCATGTAGTAGAAGGTCCAGAACACAGCGAAGCAGCCCAGCAGCAGGAGCGTCTGCAGAGGGCAGGGCGACACGGGGCCGCTCAGCAGCCAGGCCGCGTGTCGCGCACGGCCCCGCGCTGCTCCCGGCGCGCCGCCGCGGGACGACGTGGCCCAGGAGGCACGGGCAGCCCCCGGGGGCCGCCGCGCGCACGCCCACCTTGAGCGTGTTGGCCGTGATGGTGTAGCGCTGCTCCTCGGGGATCTCCAGCCCCGGAGGGCACGGCAGCGAGAAGTTGCTGTGCAGGTACTGCCCGCTCATGGCTTCTTCCAGCAGCCTGGGGACCGGGCAGCCGCTGAGAGCCCCGCGCGCCGGCCGCAGCACCGGGAGCGGCGGGGGGCTCCCAGGGGGCCAGTGCGGGGCTGCGGCACCCTGGGCACGGCGGAGGGGCCCTCTGGGGCCACACACGGCGGGCAGAGGCGCCGCGGGCAGCTCTGCCACGCAGCCGTGCGGACACGGCCCCGCCAGGCAGCGCCGCGCCGCGCTGCGCCTCGCGCCCACAGCGGCCCTCGGCTCCTCTGCTGCCACCCCTGCAAGCGCCGGCCCGGGCTCTCCTACCTCTGCCGCTCCCGCATCTCCGCCGGGGACCAGGAGGAGCCGTAGAGCGTCAGCTGCCACTGCCTCAGCGTGCCAGCTCGCAGGCTCTCATCCCCTGCGCAAGAGGAGCCTTAGAAGGCAGGGGACCCCCCGGCGCCAGTGGCCCCCACAGCCCAGCTCTGGGGACACGGCCCAGAGCTGGGAGCGGGACCCGGACACGCAGGCTGGGCGCCGCGGAGCTGGCGGCTCCGTCCGCACCCCACGGCACGCTGCCTGGCACCTCGCCGTGCCGCTGCCGCCACCAGCGCGAGGGGCCCCGCGTCACCCACGAGGGAGGCGCTCACCCGTGTCCCTGACGACGAGTCTGTACGTGCCCTGCGCCTCCTCGCCCCAGCACCGCACCGTGGAGAAGGTCCAGTCGGCGAAGCCATTGGGGTCCCTGCCGCAGCGCGGGGACAAAGAACCCCCGCGGTGTAACCTGGTGGGCCGCCCGGGCACCAGGGCCCCACGCCTGCCGCCCAGGGCTGGGTGTCCCGCTGCTCAGCGGGAGCCTCGCGGGCCGCCCGTGCCCAGCGCCCTTACGAGTCCATGCTCCTCGTGGTCCCTATGAGGGACATCATGCCGCTGGGGCAGAAGAGCCTGATCTCCAGGTTGCCGCGGCGCGGGTGGGTTATGGTGACGGTGACGGCCACGTGCTCCAGGGTTCTCATGCCGGAGAGCTGCAGGTCGGCGGCGCTGACTGCGACGGGGAGGCAGGAGGTGCTGAGGCTGCTGCGGGACGGGGCGCCCGCCTCGCGCCTGCCCAGCCCTGCGGAGCCTGCCTGCTCTCTGCACCCCTGGGGACTGCCACCTGGAAGCCACAGCCGCGGCGCTGAGGCTCCTTTGGAAAGAGGCGGGCCATGGGGCCCCTGTCCCCACCTCTGCCGTCCGCGGCGGCAGGGCAGACGCTCGCGGCCCCAGAGCTGCTAATTATAGCCCGGGGAAGGCCGTCACGCCGCAGCAGAGGGCTGAGCACGCGGCTCGGCCTCTGCTCCTCGCGGCTGCCCGGCCAGGGCCCAGCCCCGCACAGGTGGGAGCTCCCCGGCCTCCTCGGCGCACGGAGGCTGCGGGACACGGGCCCAGCAGCACCCCAGGGCTGCATTCCTGTGCACATACTTCTGCAAAGCGCCTCTTTCCTGCCTCTTCCCGGCTCTGCTGGCGGCCGAGCTGCCAGCTCCTTTTAGGGCAAAAGGAGCTGCGTGACCTCACGCCCCAGCGGGAGCGCACAGGCCTGGGCACAGCAGCGCAATGCTGCTGCCAGCCTSGGGACTGCCTCCTGCATCCCCGCGCCGAGGGCCCGCACGGGCAGGGAAGGGGCCGAGCCCGCACCCAGCACACGCCTGGGGCGGCACCTCTGCGGCGCGCGCCCTGCCGAGGGGCTGGCGAGGGGCCCCGGGGCCGGGCTGCCCCGAGCAGAGCTCCTCTAGCCCGGGAGCCGTGGGAGCATCGCCCTGTTTGTGTGGAGGGGGCCGGCCAAGTCAGGAGCTGCAGCATTGCCTAAAATGGACAAAGCCAGGGACGGGGACGGGGCCTGGCCGTGGCGCAGCCGGCGCGGCTCCCCAGCGCTGCTCTGGCTGCGCTCCGGCTCCGGCTCCGGCTCCGCTTCGTGTGCCAGCGCGGGCAGCCGGGCAGCAGGCAGGGGGTGCGGATCAGCTGCACACACCCCCGGGGCCGGGCAGCGGCAACGGGCAGGAAAAGCCCCCGGCGGGGAACTTAACCCCTTGGCGTGTGGGTGGGCCAGGTGTAAGGGCCAGGCACTTAACCCCTTGGCAGCACCATGCGAGCCGGGTGTACGGGCCAGGCCTGCGGGCACCGCGCTCAGCACGTGCTCACACRCGAGCGCCCGCCTGCGCTTACCGTTCCACGCGACCTGCAGCTCCTGCGGGAGCAGCGGGATGCTCTTGCCTTCCCTCAGCACGGGGCTCACGTACGAGGCGAGGTACGGAACGGACTCCCAGATCTGTGGCGGCAAGGGCGGCCAGGCTCGCGGCGAGGCCGTGCCCCCCGTGCACGGGCACCTCGCCGTGTGCCGCCGTGGCAGGGCAGGCGCCGCAGCGCCGCTCCCGCCAGCTGTCCCGGGCCAGGCGGAGCGCGGCAGGGCGCAGCAGCCCTCAGCAGCCCGTAGCCTCGGGCCCCGTGCCCTCGCGGAGCCCCGCGTGGCTGCGGGAAGGCGCGGGGGCCGCTGAGGAAACTCCCCAGCCATGAATCAGGGCTGTCGTCTCCAGGAGCGAGCCTGTGGCCCATGGCTATATATAGTGCTGAGCGAACAGGAGCCCGGGGGCAGTTCCCAGGCATGGCCGAAACCCCATTACTTCATGGCCGAGGCAGCCTGGGAGCGAGGACGGGCCCCACGGTGCCGCCGTGTCCCCGCCGGCGGTGCGGAGCCCGGCGTGGGCCCCGTCCCGGCGCTGCTCTGCTCAGCGCTGGCCCCGCGGTACCTTGGCAGCGTTGACGAGGCGCCAGGCGTTCAGCAGGCCAAAGCCGTGCTGGTGGCTGTGGCTGAAGCCGCCCGCGTTCACGTCCCACTTGGCGTGCCGATCCTCGTACTGAAAGGAAGCGCAGGGCACGGCCGTTACCCGCGGGCGCGGGGGCAGCCCGGCAAAGCCGGGCCGGGGGGCCGCCCAGCAGGGAAGGAGGCTCGGGCACACTGCGCAGCGGCAGGGAGGCGAGCCCGCGTGGCCCTATTGCAAACAAACGGGTTAACCTTGGCTTGCAACACGCCCCGGGACAAGCAGGCTGCCCGGCTCCTCGGCAAGGAAATGGAGCAGCGCGAAAGGGCACGAATGCCTCTGCTCTGAAGCAGCACAGCTGCTCCTTCTCCCCTGCCACCCGAGCCAGGGCCTGCAGCATGGCACAAGACTTGGCGAGGGCAACCAAGTCCCTTAAATCAACACGGGCCGGGCTAGGGCGGATCTGGGTCCCATCACTCCCCAGGCTCTAGCACTCTGGCACCAGAGGCTTGCGGCGGTGGAAAACGCTGCCCCGTGCCAAAGCCAGCTCTCCCTCATGTATATACAGCAATGGCTGCACGCAGACTCCCAGGCCCCGGAGGGGTGCAGAAGAGGCCCTGTCCTCTGTCCCTAAGGCGACTCGGGCCGCTGGAGGCAGGTCCCGCTCGGCCGCGCGCAGCGGGAGCCGTGTCGGAGCGGGGCCCGCCAAGGCCGGGGCTGTGTTGGTGGCCGCGCGCTCCGTTACGGCTGCTGCCCAGCGCCAGGCCCTCCTGAGAGCAGGGGCAAGGGGCAAGGCAAGCCCAGGCAGCGCGGAGCTTGGCACGGGGCCAGAAAGAAGAGCAGAACACGGGTGAGCGCGGGCATCGCGCAGGCTCCACGCAGGGTCGGCGCAGCAGGGGCGCCCGCGGCGAGCACCCTCAGCTCACCTTGGTGGCGGTGAACACGATGATGTGCTGCACGTCTCGCCACGTGAGGCACGGCCGCACCTGCAGCATCAGCGCGATCATGCCGGCGGCGAGCGGGGCAGCAGCCGACGTGCCCGTGTGGCCCTCCGTGCAGCCCGTGCCCTTCTGCAGGTCCCAGTCCGTGGTCACCTTAGCAGAGAGGGGCAGAGAGGCGTGGCGCTGTGGAGGAACGTGCTGCACCCGGGCTCCGCTCCGAGCTTGCTGAGACCCAGCTCGGGGACAGCAAGGGCGGCCAGAGACGCCGTCCTCCTCCCTCAGCCAAGAGCCGAGCAACAACAGTGGGGCAGCAGCGACGGCGAGAGCCCGGGGACACTTTGCTAGGGAGCCCGGGGAAGCTCGGGGACAGCAAGGGCGGCCAGAGACGCCGTCCTCCTCCCTCAGCCAAGAGCCGAGCAACAACAGTGGGGCAGCAGCGACGGCGAGAGCCCGGGGACACTTTGCTAGGGAGCCCGGGAACCCATTGCTAGGGAGCCCGGGGACACTTTGCAGGCAGTTCCCGGCCACAGCAAAATCCAGTGCCAGGTATGCTGGGGAACAGCACCTCTTGCTACGGGGCGTTGTAGAGAGAAGGGGCCTGGGCCTGAGCTAAACAACTTCAGCAGAAACTCGAGGCAGTTGCAAAAAACCTACGGGCAGCTTCTGCTTCCCAGCTGTACCCGCGTGACCCTGGCTTGTCTTCACGCTGACCACAGAGTCCCGTCAGCACAACCGGCTGTCCGCGCAGAGACCCGACAGGACGGCGCAGGAGCCCACAGAGCCGCAGAAGGGCTCTGTGAGATTCCCACACTGTGCCTTGCTTGYTCCTTGTCGTGCCGGAGACGGGCCCCCTCGCTGCAAGCTCCACGTGTCCTTGCCCCTCCGCTGCCCGTGGGGAGACCTCCTGCACTGCCAAGGCTGCAGCTTTCCTTGCCTTCTATGTGCGGCTCTGAATCATCTTGTCAGCTGTTAACAACCGCACCTCGGACACTGTACATCCTACAAAGAACACCCTGAGCAGCATAAACTTTCAGCAGGAAATGCAGCTAGTGCCAGGAGCTGTATTAAATTCTTCCCATTAAGGAAACCACACAAAGTTCACAGTCTGGAAAAAGAAAAAAAACGCAGCAGGCGGCCGCAGAGAAGTTAACTGTGACCTCGCTGAAGCTGCGTGGGGAAGGAAGGGGCGTTCGAGGCCTTCTCACCACCTTATCTCACCAGGAGGGTGCTCACGGCACGCGGCACGTAAAGCCCTAACCCCAACCCCAAAACAGAAGTGCAGTAGAGTCCTTGCTTGGTGGCTCGTCCCTTCTTCCCGAGCGTCACTAGTTTCCAAACCAGCTTGGGGCAGTTCAAGTTATTTCTGAAAGGGAACATTAGCTCCAGCCTGGCTTCGCTTTCGCTGCCCCACGAGCTCAGCTGGTGACTTTTATGCTCAGTGGCCCTATGGTAGCTGAGCAAGGGGGCCCTTTGGGTGCCCCAGGACGGAGGGAGGAACGTGCTGGGTCAGGCCTGGCGCTGGGGAAAACAGGCCCGGCTGCTTGGCTCAGAGACAAAGGACATTTTGTTGACAAGAAGTCATTTTTTYTTGGCAAATGAAGGGAAAGTTGATAAAAATATTCCGAAAAAATCATCTGGGAGATGCCTCTTTCCAGCACAGAGCTGTGGCYGAGCGGTTTGAAGAGCGCGACGCTGCTCCTAGCCCTGGCGCGTGCCCGTGCTCCCCGTTCCTCCGGAGCGGAGCGGAGGTGACTCCGAGCGGCTGCGCGGCCAGCTCGCCGGGCAAGCAGGGCGTGCACATGGCGAGAGGAAGAGCCCCTTTCGCTGCCCGCGGGGGACACTCGCTGCCACCCTGGGCAGAGCAATGTCTTGGGGGGGATGCCAGCAGCCCCCGCAAGAAGACAGGGATCCCTGCAGGTCCCAGCCGCACAGGCACTACCCCGCAAGCACCTGCACGTGAGGAAGCAAAAACCTGCACAGGGGCCATTAACTCAGTGTGCTGCCTCGCTGAGCACCTCCTTGCTGGGCGAGGCTCAGTGCCCTGCTAGTCACAGGCTGACAGACGGTGGCGACGCGGGCAACAACTAAAAATAGGAACCTCCCTCTGAGAGCACTGTTTGTGCAGGACCTAGGAAAGCCCGCGTTCCTTCCCTGTCCCACGGAGGAACCCGACGCCGCCAGYGCAAAGCAGGCAGCGGAGGCGGACGCTCGTCCCTTGGCCGCCGGGGCCCGCGGAGCCCGGCTGGAGGCGGGCGCCTTGCGCGGTACTCACGATGCTCCTCATCATCTTGTCCCCGCCGCTGAAGGTCACGGCCAGCATGGAGGCRCATTCCTCGGCGTAGAAGGGCATGGAGCCCGTCTCGTCCACCGCGCCTGCGGGAAAGCGCGGTGAGGCCGGGCCGCCTCCGCGAGCGCGCCCCGCGCCCGGGCGCCCGGCACCCCGGCCTGCCCTCCGTGCCAGCCTGCCCGGCACGGACAAAGGCCGCCCACGGGGAGCCCGGCAAGGAGAGCAGACCCAAGCCCGTGCTCTTCATGCCTGGCACATCGGCAGGGGAGGCAGCCACGAAAAATAAGCCCTTGGCTCTGCTTAACGTGAAACTGATTCTCTACCCGCCGTGTAGCTTCTGCTGTCAAGGACGTGGCTCACATGCTTCCTTTTCGGCATACATAAAGGCAAAGCTGTTCCAGCATTATGGGCTGTGGGCCTGCACACACCGCGTGTGCCGTCCGGGCAGGCGGAGGCCTTCCCACAGGCTCCGCTACGCAGCCAGCTGCTGCCYGGGCACGTTTGGCACCCTCGGCATGATCCCACTTCTCCATGTTGGGAAGAAAAGGGAYGGCAAGGAACTGTGGACGCCCTGCTGGCAAGGGACCATCGGGGGCTCCTCTTCCCCCGCGCCCCAGARAAGGTGGCACCGAGAGCTGCGCTCCTGCCCGCGGCAGCACGGCGCCCGCCCGCAGCGCCGCTCACCTATCGTGACCGTGTAGATGGAGTTGGCGTAGCCGTCGTAGTTGCAGTTGTCGCTGTGCTGCCCACCGTTGCCACTGGCCACCACGAAGATGCTCCCGAAGCCCCTGCGACCTGCTATGACGCCGTGCTGCAGGGCCGCCTGCGGGCAAGCAAGGGGGCTGCTGAGGGCCCGGGCACGAGCCTGCCCTTCCCTGCGCGCCCGCCCGCGGGGACGCCGGGCGCCGGCCCGCAGCTCTGCCGAGTCGGGGGCACGGGGCAAGTGCTAACCCTGCGCGCGGCGCTCGCGGGCACGGGACGTGCTGCAGCGCTGTGTATTGGCACCTGCAGCCAGGATCCCACCCTTCAGCAAGCAGCCCTGCCAGGGACAGGGGCGACAGCGGGGCCAGCGCCAACCCCGCCGGCCCCGGCTGCAGTCAGGGACTTGCGTCCACGGCAGCCCTGGGCATACACGGAGGCTCCAGCGCGGACACGTTACAAAGGTCGGGACGCAGCCAGCAGCACAGCTGCGGAGCAGCCTGTCTGGTGTTTCCTGGGATGCTAAGTGCATTCTGCCTTACTGGAGAACAGGGAAGAACGGGAACGTGCCAAGCAGGCRCGGCTCGAGCACGGCCGGCCGCCTCACCCCGGTGCAGCGGGACGGGCGCCGCGGGCGCGTGCCGGGGCTTTGCRGTGCACGGGAGCACCCTCTCCGGGGGCCGCAGCCCCGCAGCAGCCTGGCGGCCCGTGGCAAGCAGCACCGCTATGGGAGCGCCCTGGCAGTGCTCAGGTGCACCCGGGCAGGGGCACGGCCCGAGGACGAGCAGGGGAAACAGCCGCCCAGGCTCCCCGCGGCAGGAGTAGGCGCCGCTGCGCGGGCTGGGCCGGCCCTGCCGCCGCCGGGCTGCTCCAGAGCAGCCTCTGCCCGTGCTCTGCGGCTCCGAGCCTCCGTGCGYGCCGTGCACAGCAGTAACTCCGCTCGCACAGCTGCAACCCGCTGGCCGTGGGGAAGCGATACTGCTGCCGTCAGCGCAGCTCAGCCGCGGCTCCCTGGCGCTTCRAAAGGCACAGCAGCAGGCGGCCAAGCGAGACGGAAACGCAGCCGAAGGGCGCCCCGCGAGCAGGGCCGGGCTGGGGCTCTGCGAGGGCCGCCGCGCCGCAGCAGCCGGGCTCCCGCAGGCTGCTGCCTTCGGCAGGACGCTCGGCGAGCCGGCACGACCTTCCCGCAGCAGCCGGGCACGGACAGGAGCAAGCATTCCCGCCGGCCCAGGCAAGGGAATGCTCACACGGAGCACTATGCTGCACATTTCTGGGCTGCAAACAGGCCCTGCTCCTCCAGTCACTGCAGGCCCCRCAGCCTCTCAATCACAGCACTGAGGCAGAGCCGTCCACCTGCTTACGCTGCCACAGCCTTCCTCCATGCAAATGCTGCCATCTCCCCAAGCCCTACCTCACTCCTTGCTTTTGAATCTGCATTCTCTACCTTGCAAACCATGCCCCAGCCCTGGCAATGTTTGCTCTCCCAAGTGCACAGTGTCCTTTCAGCTGCAAAAGCTGATSAATAATCCCATGGGGTTACGAAAACTGCAGCGTTTTCCTGATAAGCTCGCAGGCCTTCCTTGCAAAGCTCAATGAATTCCCCAGAGCCCAGCCTCCTGTGGCAACGTCACCTCTCCCCACCACGCACACCTTGCGACACCTCCGCTGGCGGCGCTGCCTGCAAACGGGCGTGTGCTGCAACCCCGCCACGCGCCTGCTGCGGCAGCCGAGGCACYACGGGCACCCGCGGGCCCGGCCGCCTGCACGGGCTTCGTACCTTTCCCAGCTGATGGGGGCCATCCACAGTTTTCCCGTCGTCATCTGGACCCCAGCTGCAAAGAGAGACACCAAGGAGTACGAGCCGCGATGCCTCCYGCCTCAGCTGTGCCCCTGCAATGCGGGAGCTGCGCGCACGGGCTCGCCCCCCGCTCACCTGCAGCTGTAGATGTCGTTGATCTGGTAGTGCTTGTTGAAGGCGATGGCCTCCATGCTGTCGGTGAGGGGCCCGTCCAGCACGCGGATGCCTGCGTGACACAGAACGAGCACCGTGACGCCCGKGGCCTGACGCTGTGCAAGCTGCACAAGCTGCACAAGCCACGCTGCCCGCAGCGGCTTGGCCGGGCCCCGCCGTGGCGGCCGCGCCGCTCGGCACGACTGCTGCCTATCCCTGTGCCCAGGCCAGCAGGCAGGGCTGCCTCCCGGAGCAGCTCAGGAAGCGTGAAGCCTGCACGGAGCCCAGTGGTGCAGAACTGCACAGCTTCGCGTCGCAGTGGGGCCGCGCAAAGGACGCTACGAGCGGCAGGCAGGCTCCCATCTCCACGGAGCCCACTTATAAACCGCACCGCCACCCCCTCTTCTCCCCTGCCCGCACACTGCGGCGTTTACTCCCGCATCCCAACGCTCCCCGYGCAGGAGCGGAGCCCTGCGGACGCGCAGGGGTGCAGAGCGCGCCGTGCGCGGGGCCCGACCACCATCTGCCGAGCGCGGCGGGAATGGCAGCGYGGGGCGGGCTGCACATCGGCTGCGCGCTGGCGGGCACGGCTCCGCGGAGCAGCTCCCACCGCGGGCACCTTCCCTGCCCGGCTCGGCCCCTGGGAAGGGCGGCGGGCACACGGCGGTGCCTCCGCTCACCGGCGATGCGGCTCCCGTAGGCCACCCCCACGGTGCAGAAGCTGTTGTTGGGCACGGCCGCGATCTCGCCGGCGCAGCGCGTGCCGTGGTGGTTGCCGTTCTCCTCGTCCGGGTGCGGCATGGGGTCGGGGTCGTTGGAGTTGAGGTCGTAGCTCCCCTCCGGGCACTGGCGAGGCGGCGGCACCGGCTCAGCGCCCCGTGGACGCGGGGGGAGCCCCGGGACGGCGGCGGAGGGGGGGGCCGCGCGGCGGCACTCACGTAGTTGGGCTGGATGTCCTTGACCGTGTGCTCCACGCCGTCGTCCACCACGACCACGGTGACGCCGCGGCCCGTCACGTTGCGCTCCCACACGCCCGTCACGTTGATGTCCTTGCCGGGGCTCCTGCGGTTGTTCTGCGCGGCGCAGGGGGTGAGCGCGGTGCGGGGCTGCGCGGTGCGGGGCTGCGCGGTGCGGCGCGCTGCGGCGCGGCGCGGCCGCCCTCACCAGGTGCCACTGCAGCGGGAACTTGGGGTCGTTGAAGTGCACGCTGCGCTTGGAGCGGCGCAGCAGCGTCTGCTCGGCG